CATAGGAGGCTAGAAATAACAATAAGCATTAATATGCACCGATATTTAAACTTACTATGTGATGTGACTTGAGACTCATGTATGGATAGATATAATAATACATATATTTTTACTGAAAATGCAATAGGCTCTAAAGAGGACTTTAACGTAAGAAAATAAAACTATATATTATGTTCAAATCATACAAAATCTTCTATAACTTTCAAATATATTAATTTTGCTGTCACTCATCATCAATAAGCTCTTCTTCAAATTTACGAGGATGACAATTATTGGGATGTTGATTTTTCGAGACATTCAAATAAGCATACGTGTGAGCAGATAAGCCCTGTGAAACCTCAACAAAATGATCATGCACACACCAAGAATGCCTCTCAGATTGTCACGGATCTCTTATACAGGGGGTGCTTTATAGATGTAATTGGCTCAATTTTATTTTATAATGAAATACAAAACATTCATTAAAAAAAAAAAAAAAAAAAAAAAAAAACGTTCATATTATTGAAAGCCAAGACTCGAGCTGGAGCGAAGTCTAGTATGCATTTAGTTTCCTCGTAAATTTTAATTGAGTTCACATTTACATAAAATCTCAATGTTTAACGAACACAGAACCAAAAAAGGCTGTCCAAACACTCTGTGTCAATCTTCTTGCATATTATGCATTTCACTCTCCCTTAATCAAACTAATAGAATCAAATCATCACAATCTTCAGGAATACTCATCATACAACTCTAGAGGTAACAATATATTGCCTTCCACAATAATACACTTACTATGTTTGGGTCATGTGCTGACAAATTTATAAGTTTCTGTTATATGATAAAGGGAATGATATTTATCGCCTCTTGGGTTATAATGATTTCAAAAACAAAGCATTATCCATTATACATTTTTTACTTTTATGTCATAAATAAGTCTTCAATAATTATATATTTTATTATTCTCCGTCTTTTAAAAAATAAAATATTGATAGCTCGTTTATAACACTTAGGCTCTGTTTGGCGCAGCTGCCAGTCTGCGGCGCGGTGCCGCGCCGCGAAAAAATGTCGTTTGGAGCGGCGGTGTGCATGCGGCGGGCCGCGATATACCCCGGATGCAGAATGCGATGAACAACCCGTGGCTTGGATTCCTTTCGCGGCTTTTTACCCGATTACCCTACCCCCGATTCTCATTTCTTCTTCACGAACCGCGCAATCTGCTCCCCTCGCCACCTCTTCACTGATGGCTTTCTCTTCTCCGGCGCATCTCACGCAACCAAAGTCGCTTCTTCCTCTTTTCTCACGAGTTCCTCACGTGCAGGGCATCTCACACAACCAATCATTGTCTTCATCGTTCCTTACGGAAGAATCGAGGCTAGCGACATCTACTGCCCACATGTTCACTTTCTCCGCCTCCTTCGAAACCATATTCCCGTCGCCAACATCCTCGCTTTGTTCATCATCGGTGAAATTTTCTCGATTTGAGATCGCGTCGACCATGGGCTCTGGTTTGGAATCATTCATGGCATCGCCATATATCTGATCTTTAGTTTATAAGCCTTTGGACTGTGATTCCGAGGGCTGAGGAGTTCGGATTGGTTGGATCGTCATTGGAGGACGAAGGCGAGGTGCTTTGAGGGCATCGAACGTGGAAGCCCATCAGGAGCTCGTCTTCAGCGGCGCAGAGCATCTCCTCCACATTTGATGCCTTATCTAATTTTTTTTTTTCTCAAAACAATGTCAATCCTGGTAATTTCTTCAAAGAATTCCTCTATTTTTTATTGAGCAGGTGCAACTTTTTGCTATTTTCTGTTATTTTTCATTTATTTTCTTTGATTTTGTTTTATTTCAGTTTTAAATAGTAAGAATTATTTTTTCTTTCATGAATCTGGGAGGCGTAGATGTTTTTTACTTAGCTTTTGGCTGTGTTTATTCTATGGCCATTTTTGGATGTCATCACCCATTGACAAATGTTTGCTTGTGGAGTTCTGATGGGGAATTAGAATTAGGAAAAAAAATTAAAACTTTTTTATAAGTTTAAGCTCCTGTAGTCAACATTGTATGCTGATTTTTGGGATTTTAAATCTCATAATTTCTATTATTTAAACATTTTTATAGTTTAAATCCACTAGAAATTCACTAAATATGGGTTGTCGTAATAAAAAGTTAACTATATATATATATGAAACATTTAACCATATATATGAAGCAGTTTTACTAAACAATGACATAATTGTCATTTTTCCAGAAACAGCTGCTCTGCAGCTGTTTTCACACAGTTGCACCAAACAGGCAGCTGCGCCAAACAGAGCCTTAGTTTGAATCAACCTTATGATATTCCCCATTCAAAAGATTTTGCCTGCTTCGTTTGATAAATTTTAGTCTTGTTGAGAAACTTTTTGAATATTTGTGTAAAGTTATGTGAAAACTAAATTTTGTAAAGACGCAAAATCCTCCATCATGTTAGTATTTATCAGAGCTATTAGAACTTGCTATGTTACATGATCAAAACCTATTTCTCCTATGTTCAAATAATATTCAAATTTTTTTAAAATCGTAAGTCCAATATCAACTTTAAATAAAAAAATTAAGATCAAATAATATTTTAACTTGCACACTTATCTGCTGCATGTCAATCTTTTGGGTATAAGGGAGTCAAGCCGACTCATAAGCGGCTCAAGCTCAACCCGACAAGTGCATTGTGAATTAAGTTAGATAAGCTAACAAGCGAAGCCCAAGCAAGCCGGAAGAAAATATTCTCAAAGTATCTTAAATGTCAAAACTTTATAATATATTAAATTTCAAAACTTATCTTTAACTTATTAATATATATATATATATATAATTTTTTATTATATATTAGGTGATTTAATTTTTTTATCTCATAATTGTTTATTTTATTTATCAACTTATTATAAATCTAACTTAAATTAAAATAATTTTTTCTCTTTTATATTAAACAAGTAGACATGGTCTTGTAGACTTAAGCTCGAACCTGAGCTCGAGCTTGATAAAATTATTCAAACTGAGAAATTAAAATAATTTTTTCTCTTTTATATTAAACAAATAGACATGTTCTTGTAGACTTAAGCTCGAACTTGAGCTCGAGCTTGATAAAATTATTCAAACTGAACCTCCAACAGATGGTGGCTCGAGCTCGACTTGACTCGTTTACACCCCTGGGTGTGTGTAGTCTCGTAGTTCCTCGCCCCGAGATCACAAGTTCGAATCAGACGTATTGTCATTTGAACTCACCTCCCAATTTTAATTTAAACAAATGTTTGGTTATATTTCTATAAATTTGATGTATGATATTTTTTTTCTTAAATTATGAGCAAATTCTTAGCAAAGAAGGCCAATTTTTGGGGAAAAATTTTATGTCCGAACTGTGGAAATAGCTTTACAAGCGTATTCCTAGTAATATACCGTCATGAGTCCTATATCGGGTCCACCTAAAAAAAATATTAAAATGAAATTGAGGGCTCCATAATAATCATAAAATAATCTCAAAATAACTCCAAAATAAACTTTACGATTCCACTTTATTAACCCTCAAATAATTTCTTTGAAACAACATTCTCAAGATTATTTGCGAGTTACTTCTAGTCAAGTCAAGTGAAATAAGACATAAAATTTTTCCAATTTTTTTGAGCCTCAAGCCGATCCAACGGCACCCATCCCCAAACGCCACGAAGCCATCGCATCCCGCTTGGCATTCCGACAATCGGCAAACTGCATAAAAAACCCTAGAAATTTATACCGTTCCCCCTTTCCATCCAAAAACCCACTGATTCTAGCGCATCTTTTCTCTCTCTGCCCGCACTCTCTCTCTTCTCGGCCTGCCACCCCCTTCCATTTCGTTAATCGTTATCCATATACGCTGCCCCCTCCTTTCCTTGTCAGCAACCTCCAAAACCCTAGCAATTTTAACTTGCGCGATATCGTACGATTGGTCACCCAGGTATCAACTAGCAAGATCTTATCACTGCTTCTTCTTCTTGATTTTTAGGTTTTCATTCTGTTCGAATTTATATGATGTATTTGATGGCCGGAGATCTTTTGCTCTAACATTACCAGCGTCTTCATATTTTGTATCAGTTGTCCTTCCAATTTTCTAATTTGATTTGATTGAAACATTACATTCTTTGTATGAAGTTTTTTTTTTCTTCCCTTACTTGAGTGTATTTGATCTATTCATTTGCTGTCCATCTCTCTCACAGCAACAGGGTTTATCGTTAAATATACCTGCATTGTCATCCTTTTAATAAACTCCTAATACCATTCCTTGTTCAGCATATGTCCATTACTGTTAACATTAATGCTTTCGACCATTGCTGCTATGTTTGTTTCCTAGCAAGTTGGATTAAGTTAACCCACCAAATGCGCCACTTTAGAAAATTTGTGAGGTGAATCTGGTCAATAGCTAACTTAGAAAATTATTTATTTAATTAGGGTTTTCCCTTGTATGTCTCCCCTATATACACTAAATTTATGTTAATATCACTAGGCGCACTATGCGTTAAGCACACTAGTTTTATGTGATAAATCTCTATGTATTGATGCATTATTATACACATAAAATGAGCTAGATACATAAGATTTTAAATCTGATGATTTTGCAAAGAAAAGTCACGAGGTGCGGCTCATTTGAAATAACATATACTCTAATAGGTGGGAGTAATGATATAATACCTATCACCATACTAAAAAAAGTAGCAAGTTGTTAGTGAAATTGACAATGACATTGTATAAAATATTGTAGAGGCTATTGAGCATGATAAGATCATTGCTCCTCTAAAGATGAAAATAACATACTTGGACAATAGTTACGGATATAAGGTGATACAAAAAGATCATGGACGCAGTTAAAGCAATAGATTGATTACAAAAAGATCATGGACCCTAAACCCTAAACTCCAGCCATATCCCCTCCATGCTTCTCTCATTTATTCTTTGCGCTTTTTCATACATCTTGTATTATCTCTTCTCCATGTTTCGGCTCAACTGTGTCCATCCAAAAATCTCTAAATCACCATCAATCGTGCCCTGAGAGAGGGTTAGTGATGGTGAATGTTTTCCTTCTTATGTTCTTCACGTTTATCTCTTTTCTTTTCGATTTGGCCAATGAATTTCTGATCAAACTTTGAGTAGGGTTTGCAAATTGAACCATCGACAGGGTCTTGGATTGCATCTTAATAAGTTTTTTTTTATCTTGTCTAAAATTTCCCCCATGCTCTCGAATCAGTCCTCCATTCGGTTCTCCATGGAAGAAAATATTTCCTCAATGGTGGCAAACTTTTATTCCATCCAATATGTGATTTGACTGATATATTTCTCCAATTTTTTATCCAAATCATCTATTTTCTTAGCAGACATTCTTTCCATGAATTTTTTTAATCACCAAAAGCCGAAAGCACTTGTATGCAACTACCAGAATCGTGTCGAAAGATGAAGTCTCGGGTCTCTATATGACGCTTTCCAGTCATTGTCTTCCTAGATAGCTCTGATCATGACTATATCATGTAGAAGACGCGAGAGGAAGAGAAAAATGGGAGTTTCGGGTTTGTGTCCCGCTTCCAAGCCGTTGCCTTCCCAGCTATGTCTGCACGTGATTTTATTGCCGGATTAGGTCACAAGGGCGAGTCTTGATCCCGTTGTTGCTGCATGTGACTGAGGAAGGCGAGAAAGACACGAGTTTCGAGTCTCAGTTAGCCATAATCCTTCGCGTCAGAGCCTTCCCGATTACAATATCACCGACAACGAGATTATACCGTCCGACTTCCAAGTAAGGCTGCTCTATACACAACGCTCTCTTCTAGCAATCTCGACGTTGAAAGCGATGAGAAATCTTTGCCGCAACAATCAAGTGTTTAATTTCCCAGTATTTGAAAGTTTTGCTAACAATTTTATATGACATGACATCAAAATTAACACGCTTTTCCATATAAATTAATGCAAACACAAATTTTCCTCAATAATTCAAACAACTCAATAAGAATACAAAAAATAAATACCTAAAACCGGAGAGGTAGGCGATCTCTCCCAATTTATACAAGTCGAGAGGTAGGAATCTCTCCCAAGCCCTAAACCTAAGACTTACAATCTAATCTCTTGCTTAAACCTAACCCTAGATATAACGGAGCTATTTATACTCAACAATAATAATAATAGAAGACTAAATAGCTTTAGGCGTACAAACGACAAATTTAATTTTATGTTAGGCGCTAATGTATCAGGTTATTGAAAATGTCTGGACAAGTGCTCTCCTAGAAGTGGAGATAGTCTTACTCAAAAAGTGATAAAATTCTGTTATAAGAAGGTTGTACATGCCATTAAAGGTTAATTGGTTGCTGCTCCAGTGGAGGTGAAGAAGCAACGATGGGGCTTTATGGAGATGACTAATCAACAGTCGTAGAGGTGGAGGTAGTATTGCTAGAAGGCTATGACGAGACACCATAGAAAATATTACGAGGGTCAGTAAAGATGGACAGTCTGGTGAACCTTCGTTGTTTAGAAATTATTGAGGGAGTTATAATATACATCCCCCAACTCAGAGGCCTTCCATGATGGAAATACTTCGTATTTTTCTCCTCAGTGAAGATCATTTTTCTTATATGCTTATTGCAAATTGTTATTGGTCAACCTATAGAATTGTTATTGGTCAACCTATAGGAGAAAGCTTTTTCATACAATTCTTAGAGAATGTTTATGCGATTTAGATAAATAAACTTGGTGAAGGATAGCTATTTAAACCTTTACTAGGAGAACTATTCAACAAATTGTCTTTATAAGTGTTTTGTAATTCTAGAAAAAATGGACCTTTTCTTATCCCTTCATCCTTCTAGTTTATGAGTATAAATAAACAATTTATGATTAGTATGAGGATTGTTTCCACGTAGAAGGATAATGCAGATTAGAGCATTTTCTTGAAATTCTTGCAATGGTTAAGTAATTTCTATAAACTTCAACGACATTCAACAAGCTTACATGTTTATTAGAGTTAAGTGGTTTCCATAAAATTACGAGAGGTGAATCGACATTGTATAATTTTATTTTAATTTTAGCCTCACTTCAAAACTTTTAATGAGGATCATAACCAACACTGTTTACATGTGGGTCTTCATATAAAGTGATTGTTTTAGGGTATTTTGGATTAGGTGGAGATTAGTTCTACTCAATTAGGGTCTTTTTGGTGCAGCTGCAACTTATTGAATAATATGCTGATAAACTGATTAAAAATAATATGCTGATAAGTTAGGTACGATGACTATTACAAATTTTTATTTTTTTTTGGAAAAGCCAGACCGCAGCCAGAAAGCTGCGACCACACCTAGATAGGTGTGGTGTGAAAACGCTGTTTTCAGCGTTTTGAAAACGCATAAGCTGCTAAAACGCAGTTTACCCAAACTGGCCTGGTGTGTTTTCAAAACGCCACCGCATCAAATAAGCTTCCCCAAATGGGCCCTTACCCTCTCTCAAGGGTGTATTTCATTTAGTTACATGTGAAAGGGTATGGTATAATCATATTTTATTGTCATCGACTTTTTAGCATCTTTTGCTTTGTTGGTGCTAGACATTAGTACCACCAAATAGTTATAAATTTACTGGCGTATCACCTAATCTCTTAAAATTACTATTATGCTGCCGTAAAGACTTTTACTAATAAATATCTCTTTTTTATGGAATTTAACAAATAGTTCAACTTAGGATTTTTTTACTTTTAGCTATATAAAATCCCAAATATCTTAATTTGTAATTTATCATTTCTTTTCCACAAATATACTCAAAGAACTTGTTCTTTCTCATGAAAGAACCCCAAATTCTTTATTACCTTAAATTATTTCTGGAGTTCACTTTTGCATCTTTATATCCTTTGGAGAAAAAATGATTTTTTATTTTGATGTTATACTGTTATGATTAATAATTATAATTTTTTAATTGATTATTAATTATACCTTTCTATAGTAATATGATTTTATATTTTCATAAGAAAATTCGAACTTATTTATAATTATGTTATCATGACATGACCTTTACTCAATTAACTACCTAATCAAGTAATTAAAATATAATTTTAATAAGTATATGTTGTCAGAAATATTATGCAATTTAAATAGTTTTAGTTATTTTTAGCAGTTTCTACATCATTATGACTGAACCCTGGTCGGATCTTTAGTTGAACAATAAACAGCTTTTTCCACTAATTCAATATCTGTTCCTGTTCTGAAACCTTTGTTTGGGGGAGGGGTATTAATATAAAAATTAGTTTATGTATGGATATTTTTACTATGAAACAAAGCTAAATTATCACAGTTATCACATTAAGGAACGAGCCATCGTGCAAGTGCATTTTTCATGGTCATGAAGCCTTAGAAAAGGCCCACATGCAGTTTAGGGTGCTTACTGTTGAGTTTATTTCTCGTATATAAATTTTTTTTTGCTTCTTTATGAACCGTCAAAAGAATCTTATGAGTTCTTAAATGTCACTTGATCATCCAAAAAGACACTATAAAACAACATATCCATCATACTGTATTTCTTACTTTGTTTTTTTATCTCGATTTAATTTTTCAGATTCTTAATTTTCATTTTAATATTTCAATATTTTTGTTGAGAACCATACAACACATCCATCATACTGTATTTCTTACTTTGTTTTTTTATCTCGATTTAATTTTTCAGATTCTTAATTTTCATTTTAATATTTCAATATTTTTGTTGAGAACCATCAGAGTAACTATGAATTACATGATGAAAGGAACTTATGGTTCTCTCCACTTAAACCTATTTAAACATACAATTTTGAACTCTTCTATCAACTTTTTCAATTACCAGACATCAGGTTGAATAATAATAAGCTTTCCTACAGGTCCACATGAGTGGCTTGGAGGCTCTTGAATGTAATGCACGAGAAAGGAATGCGGATAAGGACTTCATTTGGATCATTGAGAGCTTGTTGTCCCAGATTTCGGTTGTGATTGTTTGCTACCGACGGAAAACTAAAGAGTGGTATCTGGAAATGTTTCCATTTGCTTTCAGATTTGATCTTTGTTGAATTGGAAAGCTTTTTAACTTGGATCTTGCATGCACTGTTTACTTATCGGAGGGCTGGGATAGAATATCTTGAAAAGAGATGGCAATTACCAAACCAGAGGTATTTTTAGAAATACAAATTTATACATCTTCAGGGGCATTTATGTTTTCTTACCGAGTACTTTCTTTCATACTATATTTTTTTCCTATCTAGGAATCTTGTTCTAGTAGAGAGTTTGACACACGTGTTTTTACTTTTGTATGAATGAATTATGTTATTAATGTAATTTTCTCTCTAGAATTATTTGCATTGGATCCATTTAGTAGTTTTAAAATATCATTTTATTGTTAAATTAAGCTTTATACAGGAAAGCTTTGGGTTTTTGTATTACTTATTGTTTAAGTATGTCGCGGTTGGTTATTTCCCCAAAATTTATTGTAAGATTTCTATATTTCCTCGCTCTCTTGTGCCAATATTCCGTCAAGTCTACCCCTTGATATCTTTTGATCGATTGATCCATCTATTTAAGTGTACACGTGACTATTTATTAGCTATCATTTGTCAGGTGCAGCAACAAACTAGTTTATATATTTAAAGTCTTCATTATGAATAATGTTCTTTTTAATCAACAAAGGTATGTGCTACGAGCGGGATGAGTTTTACACAAAAATTAGGGTAACCAAATTTTTTATTTCAATAGCTAAAGCAACACAAACTGAATATATAAAAGATAAACACCTACAATTTGAGAAGTAGTCAATCTCTCCCAAATACTAACCCTAAGACTCGAGACAACAATCTCACCATGCCGTAACTCTCTATCAAGCCCTTTTTATATGAAACAATAATAAATAACAAAAGTCTAATTTCCCGTAGGCCCCAATCAAACGTTACTCCCATCTAAAAAGGACACGTTGTCCTCAAGGTGGAAGAGAGAAAACTACTACTAGATCCAGTCCTATGGCTCCCCACGTGTCGTTGTCATCTAACAATCCTTTCCATTTAACAAAAAATTCGTAGGGACCCTCGTGAGTTCGAAATTTAGTCTTGTGCACATCCTTCAACCGCATCTAAATCAGTTGGTAACCCGACTTCAAGTCAATTTGGGAGAAGACCACAACCTCAAACAACTCTCTATTAAGAATCCCAACCTTGTGTCCTAAATTGACCTTACTACGGTCTTGAGCTTCACCAAAGTCTTGCACAAATTGGGGTCATTGTGAGACACCACTATCTTGTCTCCTTTTGAATACTATATATTATGTAAATCGGACATTTACATACTCCTTTGCTCCTCGACCTATCCCAATCCTATCATTACTCTCGAATCGCCTTTCGTCCAGAAGGTTGCGGTAGTAAAAGGGCATTGGCACAGTATGATGCACCCCTCGGCCAGGTTCCCACCCACTGTGATTCCTTTTTTAAGACTGCATTCCTTCAAGTCAATCTTCTTCAGCTATGAATTGCACGTCATCTCGCTTCACCTGCTGTCGCTCTTTCCAAACCCCCATATGTTGTGCAATTCCCTTCGAATGCTGACGCTTGAATCGATTCTAACTACTTTGCTCATTCCTCTTCTTTCGTTTATTCCATCCGTCTGAATGTCATGCTATTATTTCCTAGTGCTGCCACTCGATTCCACTCCCGATTTCTTTGCTCGATCTCACACCTCGAGATTCGCTTAAAGCAGCGACGATGTCCCGATGCCGCATAAATCCTTTAGATTGCTGCAGCTCGTGTCCCCTCCAGAAGTCGTCGCTCGATCCCATGGCGACCACTGATGAGTTTGTGTGAAACACGTCGATCTTCTTCATAATTTTTTTTAGGGCCGTGAATCTCTCCTCCATGGACAAAAACCAACCCTCCATGACCGAGAAATACTCTATTTTAGACATGATGTGACTCATTTCTCCCTTTAATTTCTCCTCAAAGGTAGCCACTTTCTTAGCCGTCATCACCCCTAGGAAGGTTTTCGATTACAAAGGCAGAATTCCTGTACCCGAAAATCTCGTCACAGGCTTCCTAGATAGCCCAAATTGCTATTGTACGGCGTGACCTGTATGCGACAATCTCGTGGTTGTTGCGCGGAAGGATTGTACCTTGCAATCCTGTCGGCTTCCTAGCTAGCTCGAATCGGTGTGCTGCACTCCCTGAAGTTGTTTCATGATCTTGTAGACCGTGATTCCCTCGGCTTCACAGCTAGCTTGTATCACTCTATATCGCGAGATTTGGTTGCCCCGTCCCGTCTTTGCTTCCCCTAGGTCGAATCCCAACTGTTTCACATGTTTTCTTCACGATGGCAGTGACGTCACATTGGCCTTTCCGTGTCAAATGCTATGATACCAAATTGATACAAACCGAATCAGTTTTACACAAAATTAGGGCAACCAAATGTTTTATTTCAATAACATAAAAGAACATAACCCTAAGACATAAAAGATAAACACTTACAATTTGAAAGGTAGGCAATCTCTCCTAAACCCTAACACTTAGACTCAAGACAACAATCTTATCATGCCCTAACCCTAACCATTGTGCCGTATTTATAGCAAACAATAATAAATTACAAAAAAGTTATATTTCCTGTAGGAGCCGGTGTAACAGTATGCAGTTAGCTAACTTTCTCCAATTCTGTTCTACGCTAAAATACGCTTCCTTGTTTATTCACAAGATCGCATTCTTCCGCCTTCAATTTCCAAAAATGGGGACAAAGTTTGGTAGTTTTCAGTTTTGAGTTGGCACCCGTTTTCAACTTTCAAAATTTCGTCTAATTTCATTTCGTGCGTCCTTTTTACTCTATTAATTTTTAATCTTTTCCATTAGTCACTTCTTATTCAAGCATAGCTTTAAACTCGCTAGTTGATTAGTTATTTTGTTTTCTGTGGAAGTTTCCATACTTATTTGAAGACTGTTGTTATATAAACAATGCATAGAAGGACATTTCATGCCATTATTTATTGTTATTTAGCTTGTGTTTTTAGTAGAGTATAGGGTTGTATTCCTGGCATGTTAGTTTTAAGAGTAAGAACATTTCATTTAGCATTTTCTTTCAGGCTATGAAGTCCTATATTTGGCTTCAAACAGCTGATGGCTCTATACAGCAAGTGGAGGAGGAGGTTGCCATGTTCTGCCCCATGATATGTCGAGAAAGGCTTCAGTCTGGCATGGGATCTTCTAAAAACTTTGCTATATCATTGCCTGAGCGAGTAAATCCTGCCATACTCAGCTTAATACTTGATTATTGTCGATTCCATCAAGCTCCAGGACGATCAAACAAGGTTCATCATATTTCGGTCTCACATTGATTCTAATTTCTCTTTTAAGAAGAGTTATTGATCAGCTATCGATTTATAGGATAGGGTGAAAATAAAATGTTTTTCTATCCTTAAAAAGCTATGTGATGCACTGATTTTTTTTTTTTAAATTTCTTTTTGATCTTTGAATTTACCCAGGAGCGGAAATCATTTGATGAGAAATTTATCAAGACTGACACGAAACAGTTATGTGAGTTGGCATCAGCAGCTGACAGTCTTCAGTTGAGGCCTTTGGTAGATCTCACCAGTCGAGCGCTTGCGCGCATAATAGAAGGAAGAACACCGGAAGAGATTCGTGAAATATTTCATTTGCCTGATGATCTAACTGAGGTATTAAATTGTGATATATCTTTTTATTGGCTTGTTGATACGTTTCCTTACTGTTGCTTTATTTTTTTTTTGCTTCAACAGGAGGAAAAATTGGAACCGTTGAAAAATGCCACCAATGATCCTCGCATCCGACTATTAAATAGATTATATGCAAAGAAGAGAAAAGAACTAAAGGAGCGACAAAGAGTGAAGGTAGTTTAATTTCTCCCCATTTCCTTGTATCAACCTGAATTGTTTACCTGGATTGGAATTTTCAAATATGTTAAAATTCTTGTTGTGATACTAAAATTGACCCTTCTTTATTATTGATGTTAAATGTAAGAATGCTCAAGTCTCAAGTTAACTTCGTGATAGCGTGATGTTTCTGTTCATAATTCATAAATTTGTTTTGGCTCTGGTTTTATGTTTTCTTCTTTCTTATTGGTATAGTTTTTAATAGTTTAAAGAGAAGTACATGCTTTGACATTCATAATCATATGAAACTGCTTTTCTTGAGAATATAATATTTGTTCTAGGATGAGGAAACTGAAGATCACCATGTGGACGAACGTTCAGTTGATGAGCTTTTATCTTTTATAAATGGAGACCATGAAGGTACGATTTGGAGACTAGACAAATTTTGCCCGCAAGCCTCAAAATTTTTCTACCTTTAGCTCATTCCTAATTTATCTCGTCATTTCCTTCTGAAAGTTTTCTTTCTTCTTTCTTTTTTGATTTCTCTTGAGTGTGCCGCACTTGGTAAAATGGGTATGTTTCTGCTTGTAGTTATTTGCTTGAGATTTCTCTTAACTTTTATTGCAGAAGAAAGCCTTTGTTGTTTCACTATTGATCTTACTGTAATATTCCAAAAATCAGGCATGCATTGATTCTGTCCTGTTTTTTTCTTTTGATGTTTCTATTTGTGCTGATTGGATGTTTGCGTGAGCATGTGCATGTTGGTAAATCATGAAAGAAACTGTATGTATATATATATATATACATATATATATTTTAAAGCCCAAGGGCAAATATATTAATACGGAAGAAAGATACAAAAATATTGCATGAGAGGGCCTAATAGAAAGCCTAACTCATACAAAACAACACACACAAAACTCAAATAAAGCAAAGATACATAAAGGAAAAAAAAAAAAAAAACCAAAAACCAGAAAAGGGCACAAAGGTGCTAGGGACGTCCCACTTTATATATATATATATATATATATATATATATATAATGAAAGAAACTGTACTTAAATGCGTTGTTGCTGTATGTTTGACATGTTGGCAAAGTGGATGCTTCCCTGACTACAGTTAGATCATTGGATAATTTTAAATTTTATGTTGTTTCTCTGCCTACTTGCATTCATGTAAAGTAATCTTTTGCCAGTGTTGTTCAGATGTTTATATTCTGGGTTTAGCTATATTTTTTTATTATGGTATATGCAGCAATCTAGTTTTCATGCTGCATTGGAAATCATGGTATAATTTCCATAATTAAATTTATTGCATCTTTCCTGAGAAACCTTTAACCTAGTAAATTCTATGTGAGGCTTGGTGGAACATATACAATATTGGTGCTTTGTCTTATTTTTTTTTCATAAAGGGAGTGCTACTCCTTACCTCTCTATTAGATTGCAATGTGTTGACCTCACTTTTGGTTGAGGTCTAGAAAACTTCTTTAGTAGCCTAGGTCTAGCCATAGGACTTTCCTATTGACTAGTCTTAGAAAATTAGAAAAGGTACCCCACCATTAGAAATTCAAAACTCTTTTTTTTACTCAATTTGAAATTCCACATATTGATCTTAACCTCTAATATTTAGTAGGTAAGATCATTATAAGAGAATTCAAGAAGAATCCCTATAGAATTACTTGGCTTTAGGGTCGACCCTGGGTGTTGACTTGAAACTAAGGTACACCATATCTTCACAATACATTAATCCATGATTCATTTAGAACGGATATCTATCCAATTCTATGTGAAATGCCTAACTTGGTCTTTTGCCCCGAGACACCTCCAAATTACCTAATTGCTCTTGAGACCCAAATTTGGCTAAAAGTCCCAAATTTTGCCAAAATACCCAAAATTGATCAAAACCCATTTCAAATACTTTGAATACATCCAAATTTGTCAAAACTTCCAAAAATGACCAAATTACCAAGATACCCCTCCATGACCCAAAATTCAAAAATTCCAAAAATTCTTAAAAAATCCCAATAAATCTAAAATATTCCCAATTTCATTTTGTCCAACTACACCATGGTCCAATTTGGTCAATTTGACCATCTTTGACAAAATCCCCAAATCAGCCCCAATATTGGCTAACACC